GAAAATTTTTTTAGTCTATAATAGCTATAGAGCTATAAGCGCTATATACATATATAAATTGATTTCGCTAAGGATTCGATAAGTTGGGAGTGATTTTTTTCCTGTATAGAAGGATTATTTTACAATAAGTAAGTAGTTATACAATTGACATCAAGTTATGTACATGATATCGAGAGTGATAGTAGCATATTCCATCATTTCAAAAATATCATAATGTAATAAGATCTGTCTGTCTAATGAAGTGAGGGCTTAACTTGTTTAAGTAATGTGGTACGAAGAGCTCTAGAAGTGACAAACTCAATAATGATCACGATCAATTGATACATGTGATTGGAGAACCCACAATAGATTCTCAGGGTAGAAATGTTGAATTAAGATGATGAAGTTAATGGAAAGGTTTATTCTCTTTTAGAAGTCAAAAAGAACGACTAACATAAGGACAACATTTAATTTAATCATTGCCAAGATTGTGCCAATGGGCAGTGAGTTATATACAGCTTATATTGCCACGAGAAGGAAAAGCGATAAGTCCCTCTATCCTTCCTTCCCTGTATATGCTAATGATCGGGATGGTTGGAATATTTATTTTTTGGATGGATGAAGGTGTACAACTGAGCGGTCTAAAAGAGAGAAAAGGAGATTGGACAACAATTAAAATAAAGTGAAAGGTTAGTAACAAAAATTTTTTTTAATGCAAAACTGTGGACAGATTGAAATAATTATAAACTGACTACAACCTGGATTATAATTGAGCTAAAATTTATAGTGAAATCAGCAATTAGGGATAGTTTGTCCCTTATTATATAAGTTATATAAGTAGACGTCAAAAAATACAGATGGCTAACGGTAACGGTACCGTTAAGTTAACGGTAGAGGGTTACCCTGAAGCGTAATATAGAGGGTCTGATATCGAATGAAGTACATTTAAGCAGACAATGGTATACAATCATTAATGCGAGCTACTTTTAAGGAGTTACAGAAGAAGCAGTTAAGGTTGTCGTTGCCACTAAATCTACGCTTATAAGTCTTATAAAACCGAAGATTTTGTTTTTCGAACGTCTGATCAGTTAAATTTTCATCTAAAAATAAAACGAAGGGAGCTTCTTTCTTTAATTTAGCTAACAATTTTGGATTGGCTATTACAAAAGCTATTACTAGTTTTTATGCTAGAAATACTGTTAAATCATTTAGAAGATGGCCTGGCAGTATAGTAATCCGGTGAGTTCTTCTTGAACGTCAGCAAATTCAATCAGTAGGTGTTGCGATGGAGCAGAATCAGTCTAACTATATATCTATATACTCTTAGATTAGGAGTATATAAACCTGAGTTTATGTGTTGATCAGTGGAGGCATTGTATAAATAATATTTATGTTATTGGTCTTGGTGTTATTAATTCGCTTAGATAGGTCGAAGTTTGTCGTGAAGATATAGGATATAGAAATATGTATATTTACAGATGTTTGAAGATATTGATTATTTAAAATTATTCGGGATTTGGGTTATACATATGTTAAGCGAACCTATCTAACCTCTTGGTTAATTTATTTGCGATTATCTAAAAATGAGTTAAGGATTTTCATTTGGCTTTAGTGGAATCAAATGAGATCTGCAGTCTTGAAATAAAGGGTATAGTAGAATTAGATTGGAAAACATTCTACATGGATATTACATTAATAATAATAAGTTAGGTGAAACCCCTCTGTCAATCAAATTTTTAATCAATTTTGGGTTGCAAGCTTTATGAAACCTTAATAGGGTTTTAACGTTGTTGAAAAAAGAAAAAGCAAGACGCCTCGAAAATTGTCTTGTATTAAAAACGAAATTTAGAAACATTCTATAAAATTTTTACTCAAATCGGTTGATATAACAAACATAAACAGCCTTAATTCAATAGAATGTTCCCATATATCATCGACCTTTTTTTTTTGCAGTAGTTGGAAAGCATCGAAAGCCACAGTGTGAGACTTGAACCTACCAAAACTACCTCTTTGGAATGAATGGAGAAAATTTCCACAGCATTGTAGAAACTTCATTCCAGTAATCATGGGAGAAACATGGGAGCAGTCAGGCTTAATAGCAAGGGCATAATTTAGAGAAATTTGCATGATACGGAAAAGGGTGGAGTTATAAGCGCGGGGGTGAGATTAACGGTAAACTTTGTGACCAGGCTCACGAAAGCCACGGTTATAAAGGAGGATTTCGGTCCCACCCATTAAAATAATGGGACAAGCGCAAGTATCATAATTTCCTCAATCAAATATGTTGCCTAGTCGCCACTAACGCTGATTTAACCACTGCTCGAGTGGCAAGTCTACATCTTTTTCAACCTGCTTAGCAATCAATGTATGTACGGTATATACGATAAGACCTCAAATAATTGAAAATTAGTCAAATACAAGACATCTAAGCCGTAGTTTCTTAAACAAGTTTTCGTCAAACATTTATTTCTTTCATTTAACTACGAGTATATTTGCATAATTTTAATAATTTTTTGCTATATATGTTAGTGTAGCCAAAAACATGGTTAGATTTTTTTTTTCTTTTGTGAGGAGAAGGTGGAATGTTTTATGCACCGTCAAACTAACGGTCGTCAGAATGGTGTGCCTGACGCCCTAATATATTAATATGTAGTGTATGGACTAAAACACTCAATCTTTGGAAAAACTTAATTTCCAGCGGAATCGTTTTAGCATTACATGTGTTAGCATTTTAAAACTTTTCCCTCTCGGAACCGCTTTTTAATTACATCGGATAGGGTAGGTTAGGTCTGTTAGGTTGACTATTTAAGTCTTGCTATTTTGATTTACGATCTGCATCCAGACCTTAAGTTTGGGCCTGTACTTCATTTATTTTTATCGTTGCTAGATAGCGAATATAAATTTAGGTTAGGTTCAGAAGGCAGAAATACCACCACTCGGAGGCATGTATCGCACAATGTGATTCCCTCAAAAATTTTGCCAGGAGAGGCGAGTTGGTAACCTTTGTTATCCTTATTAAACCATTTGCTTTTCCAGAGAAAGTTGAGGAGATCCAATAAGTTAGATAATTAATTAATATTCGTCAAAAACTATATAGGTCGTGTGCGACTTTGAGTAAATTGAGATAAAGTGAATTGAAATTTATTATTAATTGCATTTATTTATTATTTTTCTGTTAAAAGTTTTCAAATTTATTTATTTATGGTAATACCTAATTTTTACCTAATTTACCCTACTCGAAACTCTGGTAAATGCCAACATTCACTGCCATATCGACATAATTTATTATTTCCCCTAATTTACCATCAATTTGCTCGTACTCGCACACGGCCTTACATTACAACAATAAAAATAATGGCAATTGCAGCGTAAAATATATGAAGAATTTTAAATTAAAAACGATAAATTTGCTTCACAGTGTACTTTTGATATTTAGTTACATTCATACTTGCAAATTACGCACACATACATACATTGTACATCACATATAGCGGTTGAAGGTAGGCCGCAGTAGTGAAGAAAAAGAAATAAATTTCAATTAACAAAAAAAAAAATAATTAAAATAAATGTTTTATTTATAATTAATAACAATAGTGAGTTATTTTGTTAAAAATAATTATTGTGAATTTTGTGTTCCAATTTCTCGCTTTGTCTCTTCTGCAGTAACAATTGCATTTTTTTTTAATTTGAATTTTTCTCATCGAAGCTTTTTTGCAGACGATAAGGTAAAGCACTTGCAGGCAGCGGACATCGTAGAAGCAGCGCTGCTTCCATGCAGTTCGTATCATTGTTCACTTCACATGCGACGAGCGACAATGATTTGCAAGTTTTCATTCTCTTGCCTGTGCTTGCATTTTACTCTGCCGCCTCTGGTCTGCACTACCACACACATGAGTGTTTACTGATTCCCGCATGCATGCCTTTGAGTGGCTGCTCTCTTAGTTTCACAGATGGGAATGCAAAATCAAAAACACAAAATAAAAAAATACGCAACTGCATTGGAACTCTTTCTGCTCAATAATATGCATGCATGAGCTTTGCACTGTATTTGTTGAGTTTGGTCGTTTGGTTTGGTTTGGTTTGGTGTTTGGTTCATTGCGCTTGCTTGAGAACAGTGAAGTTCATTTGCGCGGTGTTTTTGTTTTTGTTGCTGTTGTATTGTGTTGTGTTGTGTTGTTATTTTTGTTGCAATTATTTAACACTGACTAACACATTATCAACGCAAGGCATAGCGAGAAATTGCAATGATATTGCAGCGCAGTAAGCAGCGCGCATTTCAGAATGAATTGAAGCGTCGACAGAGAACATGCACAATCCGAAAAAGAAGAAGAAGAAGAGAAGAAGAAAAAAGTGAAAGAAACTGAAAGAATGAAATGAATTTTATAGTATGTGATGTATGCGCGGCAGGCAATGGCATGGAGTGCATAAACCGAAAAATACACTACGCATTCATATGCGAATGAACGTTCGTTGCGGTTGTGCTGTGTTGTGGGTTCAACGCCGTCTTCGGTCTTCGATTGCCTTTTCGTACGTATCGCCGTATCGCCGTATCGCCTTTTCTTTGGCTCGCGAATTTTTTGTTTTGTGTTTAACTGTAATTTTTGTTTTTTTTTTTTGGAACACATTAAAAATATTAAAATATTTTATTTAAAATTAAAATCTTTTTTTTTTGTTTTTTGTCTTATGTTATGTGATGCCAGTGACACGACACAGAAGTTTTTATAAGTGCGCGACTACGTCCGTCGGTCGTTAAGTGCGTTAAGTGCGTTAAGTGCGTTAATGCGTGTTGGATCGCACATCCGCCGCAGCCGCCGCCGCCACCGCCTGCTACACGTATAGCAGAAATGCAATTAACCGGAGAAGAAGAAACAGGCATAAAATTCCCACAAAAGATTTGTGTGTGATGTATGCAAAAATACCGCTACCTAATTTATTACTCGGCAGTTGAAATGGCCAAAATATGTTACTCTGTGTTCTGTGTATTGAAGTTTTTTTTGTTTTCAATTATTTGCATGCTGCGATTGGTTTTTTACGGCTTGAAATATGAAACAAAACACAAAATGAATACAAATTTATTTCGGTTTTTATTTTGTTTTGTGTTGCAATTCGTTGTTGTAATAAGACAACACCTGCCGTCCATAGTCCCTCGCATTCGAAAAGCATTCGAGAAAACACACAAACGACCTTTAGCGACCTCTCCAACTCTCCACCACCGCCATTACGCTCAATGGTCTTCATTGCAACTTCACACACGTACACACACACACACACATGTACGTTTTGCAAAGCGTTTTGTCCGATCACTGCGTTCCCTCTCTGTATTCGCATTGCTTTCAAAAGCAATGCACTCCCCACTTGCCATGCAAATGTGTGTGTGCCTACGTGTGTGTGTGTGCGTGTGTGTACAAACATACATTTTAGAATTTAGAGCGAATGTCCGTGTAATAAAAAAAACACATTCCTAGCTTTGAGTTGTGCACGCTACTCTCTGCATAATGAATACTAAGTGCAACTAATAAGTGATTATTTAATAGAAACCTTTGTATATATAATAAAGTAATAAGAAAAAAAGTGTAAATTATGTGATCTAATGAGAAAGTATATTTTATATCGAATAATACAAAATTTCATACCATATAATGTATAATACAGTAATCATCCCTATAACACAGTACCCTTATAACACGTTTTCATATTACGCGATTTCAATTCCTCATATAACGCGGGGATTTATACAGTTCATTATTAGCTTCGAGTATCTTTGCACGTGTGTTTACGGGTATACGGGAATATCCCTATAACGCGGAACCAATCTATCGCCTTATATGGGGGATTACTGTACTTTAAATTCGAATAGATCTTAGATTTGCTGGAATTAGAATTTCTGAAATTAAATAAAGTTAAAGAATTCATAAACAAAGTCATTTCTTGAATAATTTAAAATAAAACCTGAAGAAAGACCAATTAATTTTTGAAATTAATTCTTCAAAAATTGCCATTGGAGCAACTAAATTTGATAACCAAATATTTAATATTAATGTCAGAGTCCAAATTTGTTTGATTGAAGTATCTGAGACTTCACAATCATCACAATTATTGTGTATATTTATAAAGATTTTAGAAGAAAAGAAATAGTCAGAAAGTATTTTTTTCATTTTTAACCGAGATACAGAATTTATTATAGTCCATTTTCATTATTTATTAAAATACAGAGTTTATTATGGTTACATATAAATATTTACCAAGATACATGGTGTATAGTAGTCTATTTACCCGACTTATTATGGTCCATTTTGAATATAAATCAAAATATAGATTTTTCTTTACTTACTCTTTAGAACTGATAATTTTTTGAATAACTGATTTAAAGACTCTTGTTAATATAATATTAAATGAGCAAATTTTAAACTATTTTTTAATAAATATAAAATCCTTTAGTTAGAATAAAATTTTTTTATATATCTTCGCGATTTCCTACTACTTATTCACAATACATTTAAATAAACTGAATAATTAAAATGAGGTTTAATGAAAATTAAAACTTTAAATAATTTATATAATTATTCATGCAATGTGTAAATTTGGCATATATACCAATAATGATCAAGAGGCTGGCACATATCCCTAGAATATATATATTCCATATATATCTTGTACAATGGTTTAGAAATTTTAATTGATGTATATTTTTTCATGTTAATTAAGGTAAGCTTAGTTTAAATAATAAAAAAAACGTATATAATATTATTTACTTTAAGAACAACTACTCAGTTATAATATTACTAATTGTCTAGCTTTATAACAAAGCTACTTAAAAAAATGTAGTACCAAACCTTTCAAAATATTTCGACAATCTAATTTATTTTTTAATTACTCTCCATTAAAAAACATTTTCTTTCCTATTTTTCGCTTCAACTGGTTAAAAAATGTTTTTGTATATCCTTTTATTCTACATAAATGATTTGTCAATTGTGCTCTAATGAAGTTGCTAACAGTTAGCATCTTTAGTCCTTCTGCTTTGTGAGTCTCCTTCGATCCACAGTAGGACGACCTGATCGACAATACCTTTTTATTGGAAAAAAAGGACGACAAAACATTTTTTTGTTAAAGAAATTTAAACTATAATTATTTCTAAGAAATCCTGAAATTTAAGAACAATTTTATTTTATAAGATTGTAATCTCGGATTGTTATTTACTTGACCTTTTCGAATATATTCTCAAAATTTCGTTAAATTACTTCAACATATGTATTATATTAGTAAAATATATTTCCAGAACTTCTTCTACATATCCATCTAACGTTGTCACTTCATCACACTCCCCAACTAGAAATTTTTTTAAATTTAAAATCGGATAATCAATTAAACAAGTTTAATGTGTAGATATGATCTTAAAATAACTCATCCTTAAGTCCTAGCATTTTGCCATTTTCAAAATATTTGCTGTATGTACTATACACATATGTAGATAAGTAGATTATGCTTCACACATTAGTTCCCGAGTATTGCAATGGATATAGGTTAAACGATTTCTGCAAGCATTGTTGTTATTTTTTATAGCACCCCTCCGTTACTGGGTCTCGGGAATATTGTTCTTTCATTTTAACACCACCTTTAAGCCTGTTCTTTCGACTTTAATAAAAGTTTTCGACTTCAGACACATCATCACCCAGTTCGCTTCATAATAATTATATATATTTATTATTATTATATATATATATTAAATGGAATCGATCACAACTGATGATAAATTATAAGTATATACAATAGTTTACAACTTAAACATTTAAAGCCTAGGGAAATAATACTATTTCTGGAAAAGCAGTTTAAGTTCCATAATATTATGTCATCGTATAAATAAATAATTAGATTTGATTTTAACGTCAATTAAGACGAAAGAATCTATTTTCTTAGTATAAACTATTTTTGTTAAATAGAAAAGTTTCCCAACAGCAGTAAATTGTAACAACAAAATTTTAAATATTAAATATTAATTTTAAATAAATAATTATAATAAAATTTAAAATCAAATCTTACCTCATTCGAGCTTGACTATAGTGTATAGTAAATCTTAACAACAGGTCACCTTTGCGTAAAAATTGATTTATTCAAATTGATTGATTTAATACAAATCTTTGGGTCAGATAGAGAAGAGGGATAGGTAAAATAATTATTTTAATCTAATGACAGTATAACATAAAACTTATATAAACTTATATAAGCTTATAAGATAGCTGGGATGTGTATTGAACACACTATTTTTTGTGCAAAAATGTAAACTGAAATCTATGATATAAATTTTCAATTAAATCTGCCTGAATATATACTTTGAGTACATAACCCCAACACTATTGCTATCTATGCGCTTATTCACACGAAACAGCTGTTTTCTACATAGAAAAAACCAATAGCTCCAATAACAATAACCAGATGGCAGAGGCTTTAAGCCCCTGTTTCAGATCCATATTATTAGTCATTCAGTTTATAATTATATATTTTTAAACAGGGTTTGAATTGCTTGCTGAAAATTAGCAAAAGCAACCATATTTTGACTAATGCATAAATATTAACCAGTCGATTTTTGTCAAACGACTAATTGCTAACGCATTGCATATGAAAATGAAATAAAAATATGCATTAGCAACAGCAAAAAACGTAAACTGGTTTCATTTTGATTGCTTGCTAATAGTCAATTTTACATTTTTGACTATTATGCATTTGGAATATATGCAACTTGCTTGCTTATGCGTTAGCTGCTTGTGTTTTGCTATTAGCAAATGTGTATGGATTTCTTTTTTTGTTTTTGTTTTAAGGGAATGTGTACGCATTATTTCTTTGTCAATTATGATGTGTGCGTACAATTTGTATGCAATTAATATTATTTTATCTGTAAATAGATTATGCCTAAATTTATGTTTTTTTTAATTATTAAATTTATGATATATATGATATATATGATATTAATTATTAATTATAATTAATATATATATATATTTAAATATATATATATGTGGGACGCAGATCTGGCAACGCCAGCACACGAGCATAAGGAAGTAAAAAAGAAGAAACAAACGTAGTGTGGCAGTGCAGAAAGAAGACGTGTGAAGTAATGACGTGTGTGCGGAAGAACAAACAGTTTTTTTTCATTTATATATATTTTTTTTGTAATTTAATTAATTAGTTTTGATTCTAATAAAAAGGAATCCTACATATATATATATATGTTTATATTTGTGGGAAAATTTTAAGTAATATGTAGAACATATTATATACAAAGTTGCCGTTATTCTAAAGTGTTTCATTTTAATCGGTGTATCATGGCTCCGCGACTTAATAAATTCGCAATTCTTCAACATTTTAATATAAATAGTGATAGCGATTTAGCAGTTTGTAAAATTTGCAAACATTCGTTGAAGAGGGACAGAATATTTAATTTAAGAACACATTTAAAAAATATGCACCAGTTAAATATAAATAAAAATGAAGATTCCAGCTCAAGTAGTAGTGCAATAGTTGTGAAAAAATCATTCCGAAAACAAACAATTAAAATCGAAATGAGCAAAAAAGAGTTATTTCGCTATTCCATTTAATGTCCTTAATTCGGAAAATATGAGAAAGATTATTGACCCTATTTGTCGTGGCTTAGAAGAAAAATTTAATAAAAAATTTGTATTGAAAAGCATCTCCAACGAGCTGTACGAAGAAGTCGAACTGCTAAATCGCTATCACTATTTATATTAAAATGTTGAAGAATTGCGAATTTATTAAGTCGCGGAGTCATGATACACCGATTAAAATGAAACACTTTAGAATAACGGCAACTTTGTATATAATATGTTCTACATATTACTTAAAATTTTCCCACAAATATAAACATATATATATAATTAATAATTAATATCATATATATCATATATATCATATATATCATAAATTTAATAATTAAAAAAAACATAAATTTAGGCATAATCTATTTACAGATAAAATAATATTAATTGCATACAAATTGTACGCACACACATTACTTACAATTTTGCACAACTATATTCAATGCACCAACAAAGAAATAATGCGTACACATTCCCTTAAAACAAAAACAAAAAGAAGAAATCCATATACATTTGCTAATAGCAAAACACAAGCAGCTAACGCATAAGCAAGCAAGTTGCATATATTCCAAATGCATAATAGTCAAAAATGTAAAATTGACTATTAGCAAGCAATCAAAATGAAACCAGTTTACGTTTTTTGCTGTTGCTAATGCATATTTTTATTTCATTTTCATATGCAATGCGTTAGCAATTATGCAAGCAATGCAATTAGCAACAGCAATTCAAACCCTGTTTTTAAAAATACAAATACATATACATATATGTACAGTTTATAGGCGAAACAAGCGCAACAACTACTATCATTTCCTAAGTAGTTCTTTCCAGACTTCAATGATCAATGACACTTCGTGGTACATAAAAAACACTAATACACTAACATAAAATATTTTTATGTTTATACAATACAAAACAGATAAAGTAAATAAAGATAAAATATCAGCAATACAACAATAAACAGATTAAGAAAACAAACTGTTCTTATTCGAGGAGGAGGCTATCAAAACACAGGGCGCTAGTAGTAGATATTCATTAATTTAGTGTTATTAAGTGACGTAGTAAAAAGTTTACAACAAAAAAAAAACAGAAAAAACGAGTTTTCCCTTTCTTTTTTAATATAATCAATGCGTGAATTATAATTCTCATGCGATATGAATAGAATTTAATATATAGATTATTAGAAGTATATCGTATAGATCATTAGTATTTTTAATATAAAACTGTTCTTTTTTTCCAAAATAGAAATTATCCATACTATAGTAATTATATAATTGATTAAAAAATTCCTTAACATTGAATCAAAATACATTCAGGATAAATACTTTGCTTTTGTGTTATTATTATAAATGAAAAATTTACTATTAATTAAACTAATTAATTTTATGATATTTTTTAATACAAAAAGTAGAGGAAAAAGGAAACATGTGCAAAAAATTTGAAAAAAAAAATCTATTTTGCACCACTATTACTTCCAAACCTATTTAAATATAAAGCCAAAGTCAACAAATTAGACGATATTTAATCAACTGAAATTTACTATATGAGTTTAGCTACTTGAATAAATCGTGGCTTTTAGACTGAACATTTTTTTTTTGTGGATTTCTGTTAATCACAAAAAACACTATCTTTTTTCTTGGACTAGAACATCAACTCCTATATTAACACTATTTTGTTAGAAAGCACC